GTGTGCAGGGGGTGGGGGGAGCAAAGGTTCAATTGTATGTTTTGGGTATGGGAGTGAGCTGTTGTTTGTGTAGCTTCTTGGGCTTTATGATTTGTTGGTATTGGGGCAATAGGGAGAAATGAATAAATATTGTTTTTTTGAAGTCATATGTGAGATATAAATGTGTCTTTTAATTTGACATTAATTAATATTCATGCTCTTTTAAATTTAAGTGTATATAATTACACATCTAAACTTGTATCGAGTTGAACAAGTAGACACGCATATCTATTTGGCATCTTGTATGTAATATGTCAAGTAGGACGTGTATGTAATATGTCAAGTAGGATGTGTATGTCTGTTTGTTAAACTTTATACAAATTTAAGTGTCCTTATGTACATTCAAAATTGAACATCATAGTCGAAACTTAGTTAAAAAACATATTTATATATTATGCCTAAATAACATTTGTGTCATAATCTTTTGGTGCCAATTTACCTATTTTGAATAAAACGTCATACAATCGCGTCTAAACTCTAAAGCTTGATGACTTCCGACATTTACATTTGAAAGTATAGCCTTGTGAAGACTATACTTTCATATGATGTTTACTTTCACGTTTGCACTTCAATCATTCAAGATATGCATGACGACAAAAGAAATTAAACACAAGATATAAGTTTCGCAATTCAAGTTAAATTCCAAGACATAAGTTACATGATAAAATAATATAAATTCGATGGCAAAAACTATATCTCAACTCTATATGATCTATTTTAACCCGCTCAAATTTAATCGGACGGCCTATTTGTCCCCTCAACCAACTACGGTCTACGATAGCCGCCGTTTTCATCAACGGCAAAAGCTCAAAAATGCTATAAATAGCAAGGCTCAAAATCTCTGTGCCGCAATTGGAATATTCAGCTCAGAGGAGTTCAATCAAAGCCATGTCCAGTTCAAGAGGAGGAGGCCGCAGAGGAGGAGGAGCAAAATCAGCTCATTATTCTCGTCGCAACTCCAATCAAAATTGGGTAATCAAATCTCCAATTGAACAACAAGGGTCACAATTATCATCTTCCTCTTTGAATTCAGGTGAAAAAGATGAAGCTTTGTCTGTAATAGCAACTGTACAAGAACCCATCTCGGAGTTTGTTCGAGAAGATCGAAAACCCCATCGAAATCCAATTTACCCAGAAGGGTCACAACTATCCTCCTCATCCTCTTTGATTTCAGGGGAAAATGTAGAGGTTTCGTCTGTAAGGGAAAAAGTACAAGAACCTATATCAGAGTTTAATCAAAAAGATCTAAAACCCGATCAGAATCGTAGGAATTCCAAAAGGGTACCCCGGAATAGTCGTATTAATGGTAACTTCGAGAAGAAATCAGAAGATGAAGAAAGTTCTAGAGAGGTGGTGGATGTTTTGAGTTCTTGTGTAATGGAAGAAAAGTTAAGTTGTGACAAGGAGGGAAAGAATGGTGCTGGTGTAGAAAAAGTAGAGGGGTCTGGTGTTGATGATGTTTGGAGAAGGCTGGAGGAGCTGCAATTGGGTGCTGAAGAGCCGGAATTATCAACTGAACAGCTTAGAATCAATGATCAAGCACAAGAGGATGAGGTAAAGCCTATTAGCCTGGATTGAATGTGCTCCATTTTATATATTCTCTTTGCTCACTTTTACTTGTCACGTTTTGCTATTTGAAAGTATGATTCTTTCCATTTTAAGACTGTTCCAAATATTTGACACAATTTTATGCTTATGCTGCTTGAATTCAAATTCATTATAGGAGTATTATTCAAAATTCGAACTTTGGCTGACATAAAGTTTCAAACATTAAATAAGTTACTTCGAATGGAATCTTAGCCCGCCTCACTTATGTGATATTTGTGGATCACACTAACTTTGCAATCATTAATTTAATATTGTTTAAGTACTACTTCTAAAATATAAGCCTAATGAACATTTAAGCTCCGTGTCAGGTCAAATTGGATGGGTTTTAGCTTCAAGTTTTTTAGTTATAAACTCATTGTACTTTTGAAATAAGGGACTCAGATTTGATGTTTGTTGAAAGTTTGTGCTTTTTCACATATATATCTGAACATTGCCAAACATTTGGGTGTATTGAATCGGAAACCCAAAGGTTGAACCCCAGGTACGTATGTTTTGGTACAGGTTAAGGATTTCAATGCACTGAGAGTAGTATCTGGTGTGGAAATGTTATAATTGAGTCATTATTTGATTTGAATGAGTGGGGATATCGTTAACAATGCTATATGCATCAGTGTGTCCTAGTTTCTTATGGTTGGGCTAGTTTAGAATAAATAGTTGAATAATCTGGTATGAGTGCAAATTTGTTTCCTTTTCTTTTTCATTAAGATTAATTTAAATGTTCGTAGCAATATGGTTAATGTTAGTATTTTCTTGGTGTTTTGAGTTTGCAATAGTGTGATACACTGAGATGGTTATTTTTCAATTTCTTTCTGTTTCATCTCTCCTTCTGTTTATTGATTTATGTAAAAAACATTTTGACATTGTACATGGTTCTTTGCAGTTACTAGCTCTGGAATCAATTTTCGGTGACAATGTCTTTGTTCTTGATAGACGAAATGGTCTACGATCCTTTCAGGTTCTGTAGAGCCTTGATAAACTATGCTTTGCTCTGGAAAATCCAAACCTCATTTCGTGTTGTTCTTGCAGATTCATGTACATATTGAGGTTCCTGATGAGCTGACGGTGTCTGTAAATCTAAATTCCTCTGGTGCTCTTGGAATACCAGATGATAGTTCGCCTGAGTTCTCATACTCCCTCAAAGTTGAGCATCTACCACCAATTGTTTTGACGTGTTTATTACCTAAATCATATCCGAGCCACCTTGCTCCTCTCTTTACAATCTCTGTCCAGTGGTTGAATTCAACAAACATTTCCTCTTTTTGCTCCATGCTTGATTCAATATGGAAGGAACAATTAGGTCAAGAGGTTTTATACCAGTGGGTGGAGTGGTTGCATGCCTCTTCTCTTTCTCATTTGCAGTTTGATCAAGAAATAAAGTTAGGTTTTTGTGCTGAGCGTCATATCGGAGATAGGCGTGCAATTTCAGGAACTGTCTCACCAGAGGTTGATATCCCCTCACTCAAGAGCTATGACGAGGAACAGCGCCATGAGAATTTCCGTAGAAACATTCATCAATGCTGCATCTGTTTCAGTGAATTTCCTGGTACTTTGGAGTCTCATGCTTTATTTTGTTTACAATAGTATATTGTACAAAGACGTTGGATGATTCTACTATACCTGGAACTTAGAAACTAAACTTTAACAACTTAACTCAGTTAATGACAATTTATTAGATTCTCCCATTTTAGGGTAACTTTTGTTTGTTGGCCGCTATTACTTTATTGATGCCAAAGAATCGGTAACCAGTTCATATTTCAGACTCTCCCTCATTTTTTTGATATTTGTGGTCGATTCATATGCTTATATTTGGTACTCGTTACCATTATCTCCTTGGTTATTATATTTTAACCTTTATATGTTAATAGCTGAAATCTAACCAACAAGCATAGTAATTTTTTATATGGAAATAGTGTAAAAAATCATTTAAAAGTTATGTTAAAAGTTAAGCTTGTCTTCTCTTCTCTTACAAT